GGGAGGCTCAACTGAAAAGCGCAAAGTACATCTAGTCGCATGGAAGGACGTCTGTAAGACCAAGGATGATGGCGGTTTGGGTATGAAGAATTCGCGTAAGATGAATTATGCATTGTTAATGAAACTAGGATGGGGCCTCCTTTCGAGGAACAACTCATTGTGGGCTCGGATCATGTCCGCTAAATACGGTCTCACGGCCCAGGATAGGCTGAACAAGCCTCGACATAAGCAAGGTTCTCCTCTCCTCCAGGCGTTGTGTAAGGTTTGGCCTGTTCTCGTGAAAGGTGCCCGATGGCAGCTAGGCAACGGTGAAACGGTGCGGTTTTGGCTTGACCCTTGGGTCGGCACGCTGGGCCCCCTCATTAATCATGCTCTTCAGCGGCCGCCGGAGCCTACCATCCCCTTGCCTGTCGTTGAATTTGTAGACGCGAGTGGGAATTGGAAGTGGGATGTGTTTCATGGGGCTCTCCCCTCCGCTATCATCATGCTCATTGCCGGGATTATGCCACCGAGACACACAGCTGGCGAGGACAGACTCATGTGGGGCCCTTCACATGATGGCAACTTCTCCACTCGATCTGCGTACTCGCTCCTCGCAAAGGAGGACAGGGACCCGGTCAGGCCTCTTTGGAAAATGATCTGGAAAGCGCCGGTGCCGCAAAGAATTCGGATGTTCCTCTGGCTGGTAGCTAAAAACCGAATCTTGACCAATAGCGAGCGGGTTAGGCGACACATGTCGGGATCACCGGACTGTGACGTTTGTGGAGCTCCGGAAACCACCTTGCACGTGCTGCGAGATTGTCCAGTCGCTAAGCGCATGTGGCAGAGGCTCTTGTCTCCTAGTGCCGTCGGCAATTTTTTTCTAGCGGACCTCCATGATTGGCTAGGGTCGAACTTAGGCAGATGTATGGAGGGGCGACCAACGACATGGCCAAGTCAATTTGCGTTTGCCGTCTGGTGTGCTTGGAAGTGGCGCAACGAGCGCATTTTTAGCCACCGAAATCTGAGCTGTGAGTCCCGGTGCCGTGACGTCCTCCGTCGTACGGAATCTTATATGACAGCTAGTGCAGCGTATGCGCGGGTCGGGGCAGCGGTGCATACTCTTCGGTCGATCCATTGGTACCCGCCGGAGCCGGGATGGGTAAAAGTCAATTGCGATGGGGCAGCTAATCGTATATCGGGCTTGTGCAGTTCCGGGGGACTTATACGTGACGAGCTCGGTAGGTGGATCGGTGGGTTCCTCATGAACATAGGCAGTGGCACCATCACCGGGGCGGAACTGTGGGGGTTGTTTCAAGGCCTCCACTTAGCGTGGGAGATGGGTTTCCGGAAGGTCGTCGCCGAAGTTGATAGTCAATGTGTAACGAAGATGATAAAGGGAACCAATAGAAACTTTGGCGTCCATGACTCTCTTGTTGGAGCGATTAGAGACTTGATGGGAAGAGCTTGGATATTACGGATTGAACATGTGCATCGAGAGGCTAATTTTGCAGCGGATCATATGGCGGACTTAGCGGCTTCTGAGCCGTTAGGATTAAATGTCACTTCGACACCTCCCCCGGGGATGGGCGCTTGGCTCGATCACGACCTTCGAGGCGTGGCTTACCCTCGTAGAGTTCTAGCTTCGTAGTTCTAGGCCACTGGCCTCCTTCTTTGTACCAAAAAAAAAAAAAAATACAAAGCAGCAGCTACAAATACAATTCAGTTCAAAAAAATCTCATAATTGGAAAGTTTAAACTCACTCACTTGCGACAAATTTGCTTGTTGAGAACGTATTTCTGAGCCAACTTCCTAAGATTTGGGTCATATCTATAATATTCAGCAATAGCTCTGCCATGGCCGCCGCCCCTTAGCCTCAGAACCAAATGCAAAGTAGACTCTGCAATTTCAGATTTATTAAGATTAATTCACAATACCAAGACATATATTAAAGTAGTAAATAATATCAATCAACCTTTCTGAATGGTGTAATCAGCAAGATTCCGGCCACCATCGAGCTGTTTTCCGGCGTAAATCAAACGCTGTTGACCCACTGTGATTCCTGATGAGCACACGACACGAGAATTGGGTTCTTATCTTTGACAGTTTGATGATCAAGTTATAGCTAAGCAGTAGCAATTTAATTTAATAAAAAGAAAAATAAATTAATACAGATTAATTTGTTTAATTACCTTCCTTGTCGTGAATTTTAGCCTTGACGTTGTCGATGGAGTCGCTCGATCCAACCTCGAGTGTTATGGTTTTCCCTGTCGATGTTTTCACGAAGATCTGCATTTTTTTTTTTTCGGGTTTGAAGTGAGCGCTATAAGTTTCAGTTTTCAGTTATATTTTTATAAATCGTTGCGAGTTTATATATGAGTTGAAGAGTGTGATACACGGTTTTTTGGTACTAGTAAAGATCACGTGCGTTGCACGTGGTGAAAATATTTTCTTGCTAATTAATTTTAATGTGGAGTTGTTTGTTTCAAGTTATAAAGTTTTGTTAAACTCAATTTTAATGTAAAGTATGAATTTATCGGGATAAATATTAATGTTCCAAGATAAAATAGAGAGCATATGTAATTTTTAAAAATGTAAAGTAAATAAATTACTGCAAAAAAGTACGTAACAAAAGATTGTTCCTAAATTTAAACAAAGTAACTAACAAAAGATTGTCCTTAAATTCAAACAAAGTAACTAAATAATGTTCTTAAATTTAAATAATAAAGATAAGTAACTATGATCTTCACCTCTTCTCTTTCTTTATGGTGATGATGGGACAAGATGCCTTCTTTTCCTTTCCTTTTGAATTTTTCCGCACACATTTCTTTTTAAGACTGTTGATTTTTCCGCACACATTTCTTTTTAAGACTGCTGATTGTTTCATTATCGTCGATTTCAATGACACTATCATTAGTGTCTTCCTTCATCTTGTCAGCGACGCATTTTCTTCTTTGAACTTGCTTTTTTTGTGACGGCTCTTGATTCTTTGGCAGACGACTTGGAGCTTTGGGAGATTTTGATGACCTCTCTTTCATATCAACATCATTGTTAGGTTATAATCTTGCAATTGTTTCGGCAACCACGTTCATCTCTCCTCTTGAGTTGTAAGACTTATGATTTATTTGATGAGAAATTGGAATTCGGTGGTTTATTGCAAGCTCAAGCCTCGATAGTAATCGGACGATTCTTCTCCCTAATGAATATGGAACGAAATTTGAGTTATAATTCAGTATCTGAAGATGAATTTGAGTTATAAATTTGTGTATTTGAAGATGGATTTGAGTTATAAATTTAAAAATTTGTTTACATGCTCAATAGATCTAATGTAGTGTTCAATAGAGCACCCCACGTAAACCATCCCGACATCTTCGAAAAGTGTTATAGTGCCACTGAGGTTTGCTTCTACGACATTTAGTACCAACTTATATCTGCAAATAGTACAGTTGTTTTAATTAATTGTTTTGTTTATAAAATATAAGGTCTAAACCTTTTGTTTTTT